TTTTTCAATCAAAATATTCTGGACACAAAGGGTTATTCGCTAGATGTTGCGAGTGGGAAGAGTAGGATTGCATCAAGCGCCTGAATAGATTTGACTCTAGGCACTCAAAAAAGTCAATTTACCCAAAGAAAGAAATAAAACATCTAGTTGCCACGGGAAAGAGTTGAGAAAGTTCTCATTAGGTAGATATAACAAAGATAGCCTTTTATAAAACATTTCAGAAAATAGAGGGGACGAAGAATGTGTCAAACATCTCAGTGGTTGGGCATGGAACAGGGTTGTGCCTTCCTCATTGAGCACAATGCATGGAAAAAGTGACGTCTCAACTTAGATGTAGGTGGATATCCACAAAAGAGGAATCCAATAAAGCCTTTACTACAAGCTATGAGTATTTTATTGACGTGGTATATTTTCCCCCAACAAGCCCTATGCGAGTGGACAAAGAAGTATCATGATAGTGGTCTCTTGCATACCATCCGTAGACTAGTGTCCCTGTTGCCATTATTCTGGCTAAACAGGGCTACAACTACGTAATCAGATAAATGTATCAGAAAAATCAAAAAGCTATGACAGCTGCAGGCCTCCAGGCCCCAGCCTCCCAGGAGCTACTACGGCTCCAGCCTTGGAAAGGAAGAAAGCAAAGCGAAGAGTGTAGGAGTTTGGCGATGGCAAAGCTGACACTGGAAAGGTGCATTTGTACTTTGATTTCTTCTTTCACGGTCTAACAGCTTATGCAAAGTCCAGACTCCAGGCCCCAGCTCTAGGGAAACAATGTATGGAAAGTAGGCCGAGATAGCAGGAGTCCAGGAGGAGGGTGTTCCTCGTTGTGTCGTCGTGTGATGTTTTCTGACACCCGGGCGGGTTCGGTTCCCATGTGGTCAGAACTGTTAGGCAAAATATCCCGAGCGATTACGATTTACAGTACTGCTTTACTGCTTACTGCGCATGCTGGCAGCCTCGGCCTAGCGGAGATAGCCCGCAACCTCTGAGACGTAATGGGGCTTCGACATGGACGAGCAAGACACGAGAGTCATTGATTCATGCTCGACAGAAAGATTGCCTTTTAATCCAAACCCCGTTGTTCGCTGCATCTGGGCAACTCTAAAGTCTCCCCTGGCAGTGTAGATCCCCTTGTCGCATTCCGGATGAGATGCAGGCGAGATGGTATATTTGTAACGCAGTCCTATCCGCAACACTTGAGTCCAAATTCGAACATTCTTCGACGAAATGAGCATGCTCGTGCCTTAGACGAGAGAGAGAATTTCCATGTGTGCATCTGATCCCCAGTTTTTTCAAAACGTGAAACACATCGATCCACCAGCTATTAACTCCGATTTTTATTCATTTACTTCTTTCGAACTGAGAGAGTCGGGAGAGAATTGCTGGGCAAGCCAAAAGAACGTGGCGAAAACTCAGCACTTACAGCGGCTTGCCGTAGAAAAGGATCAGTTGCACTATTTCCTGCGACAGTCGCAATTCCAACACGAGGTTCATTGCTCGTGGTGCATGACCCAACACTGGGAGTTCAATAAACCGTCTGTACACAGCCAGATTCGAGTGAACTTGACAACGAAAGCATATGCGCGCGTCAAGGACAAGATGTCTCATGTAAATGCGACATCGATGTTTCTATGGCGGGGAAGAGCCTCAACTCAAGCTCAGATCAAACAAGAGTGCCACGCCTTCATACCTTCCGCTCTAGAGATGCATGCAGCCGTCAGCACACTTTTGAGGCATGGATGATACGGCGCGTCCAGTTGGAAGCGGGGCGGAGCTGACGATAAGATCGGGATGAATAAACGCTGGAAAGAGTGACACACCTTCATCCATGCAGCCTTGGACGCGAGCTGGATGGGTTTCTTAAGGCTGTGCAAGATTGTACTGTGGTGTATACGTGAATCTTCCTTATATTTTCCATACATCGTCAATTCTTTAGTCAACGCATTCGTACCTTATTGTAGTAAAACCATGCATGATAAAAATATCCATACGATGATTGATATAAGTTTCATAAATACCACTGTTTCTAGAAGCTGAACTTGCATGCCAAATAAGTGATTTTGTTTATTTTATATATGAAACACGCATACATCATGAGAGTTAGTAGCTTTCCTTTGATGAATCAGTTTTGACTTGGGGACGTTGTTGTACTCAAGTCTGCATTGTTCATCGTGGATATCGCTGCTCTCCTTGCGCAGTCTATCTATACTTATATGTATTAGCATGAGGGAGTTCATTCCAACTTTGTATGCGATATAGCATTGTTATGTCATCTAAGTGTGATGATAGCATGTCAATATGTGTACGCCCGTTGAGAAAATGACCATGAATGCGTTTAGGGCATCTATTATCATATGTGGCAAATATCGTGGAGCTCATATATATATATATATATATATATAAAGTGAAAGGAAAAACTAGAGTAATCTCCACACAATAAGGTGTTTGGTTGTATTGGTTATGGTCTCAAGACTAGATTTTGCATCGATACCTTTAAATCTAAATCCAACATAAGCACCTTTTCCTTCGTCATGGAAACGTAGCAACTCCATTACTAAAAGCAAAAATACGGATTACGCACTAATATTCATCGTTACTTTGAATCGGATGTGTATATTTTTTCCATCATAGAAGAAAAAATTCATCGAAGAAAGCATATGGATAAGATGACATGAAAAGTCTTTTGTTTGAGGAAGTAAACATCAGAACAAACAAGTTCCCTCTAGACTAACATGATGTTAAGTATAAATCAAACCAAGAAGAGATTATGAGAATGTTTTAGATAGACCCGGAACATATAGCCTTGTAGTAATAATGTGGATGTGATGATTAAAAGATGTGAATTAGTCCCATAAACTCTTGAAGGTGCATGGCTTACTCATTCAACCATGAATCTTGTGTGTATCCAATGAAGTAGCTCAACTTGTTAGAATGATCATAACATTATAACTCAGTTGTGTTGATCTGTGATCAAAATTGCATAAATTTCGAATTTTCTCCCATAATGTGAAATGTACTCAAATTGATAACTATTCTATATCTATACACTAGAAAATTTACTTTAACTAAAGTCATTGCTACATTTGACACCGGTTGCCCACAACTTGGGTTTGCTCCATACATTGACGTTTAGCGCAGAAAATACAAAAATTAAATATATTTTTCTTGTCTCCGAATGACAGAATAGCAGAGCGATTTTCAAAAATACTAACAAATCTTCAATGCAGACGGCGATGACGATAATCTTATATTATGTTTGCAATGAAAACCAAAATATGACTTACAGAAATGAAATTTAAACGGAGATAAAGTCAATGCTAAATTTGGCGTCAGCTTTGAGTTTGCATCACAAAGGAGTTTATTAAGACAAAAAATACAGCCATAAAATTTCTCCTTTCTATGGGAAGAAAGCAGCAGATTTTTTTCAAAAGAAATAAATGAATTATCAATCCTGTTAGTGAATGATTATTTACATATATTTTTAGTTTAGATTACCTAAATGTCATGATTAAATCAAACACATAAATGTCATGTTTTATCTAGAATATACCATATACTTTTCATTGTAATGCAACAAATAACATGGACATAGTCTCCATATTACTTGTTGATTTTATAGCTTGAAAGTCTTGATGATTACATCTCATCTTTTTTCTATTATGTGATTTTAGTTTTTTATTTTGTATACTTTCAATGGAAATTACTATGAAATAAGTACTGGATATTATTTGAATTAAATATCTAAGAAATATCCTTCTTAATTATCTTACTGCATAGATTTGAAGGTCAAAAAGTCATTTCAACTAATTTTGTTGAGAGAGAAAATACAATAAGACAAGAAAAAACACTTAAAAAGTATATGAATGAATATTCATTATATATATATTCAAGCTTCATGAGATTATTTCAACTACAGAATTTGAACTTTTATTATATCTAGTGTATAGATTTACTCTTTCAATAGAAGTGCAAACTTGTTCTTGTGCATGAATATCAAAACTTTTTGACTTGCATCAATTACATACTTCACGTCAAAAGAAATTTAGCCTTGGTTTGGTTTATCTCTTTGCATCTTCTTTATGCACAAATACGAGGAATATAATAATATAACAAGAAATCACACCACACCATATTACTTCAAATTTTAGAGTGACATCATTTATGCTGCAATTAAATATGACAGTACGAGACGATGTGCCATGATAATATATATATCACGCAGCATCGCATCCATGTTGACTATAGAAATTGATTCATATGGAATCTATAGAATTTACATTGATGGATTATAATCTACATTTCTTTATTATTTACATGATTTGAAGTATATCACTTAAGCATGTTTTCGCTAGATATTTCATAAATGATTCATAAATTTTTTTCACGAGCTGTTGCTGGCTAGAATACAAGCTAGTTCATACTATGTTCATAGTTCAAACAAAACGAAAGCAAGTCCACTTGTTCATAACGATTAGAAGGCTTTCATCGTATCCAGATGATTTCTATCTTTTAGAACACATGCTTTTAACATCAATTCCATTTCTCAATATATTATTACTAAAGTTTACGTGTGAATGAACTTTATGCAAGATGCATAAAATTTGGTTTCTATGGATAGTGGTTTGATGCCTTTGAAAAGAAAGATATGTACATGAAAGCAAGAAACCAACGGAAAAAAAAGAAAGTCTAATAATGTGTAGCTTTTTTAAGACTGTTAATGATCTTTTAACTCTTGAAGGTGGAGTAGTCAACAATTGCATTTTAAACAACATACAGTGGAGTTAATCTACCTAGGCTTTTTTATTCAAACCTGTTGAAAGCGGGTATATACAAAGAGATCAAATTTGAAAATTTGACTCTATTGCATACATTGTTTGAATTATGAATGAATGTACAATGGATATGATGATACATATTCCAAAAAATTCCCTACACCATGCGTTACATACTACTGCTAAAAGTAATAAGTTTTTTGACTATGCGTCACATTTTGAGCATAACGCAAACTCCTTGTAACTGACCAACTGACCAACTCGTAGAATGCTAACACTACGTGACGCAAGACCTTGTGCACTTCCTTGCGCACCTAATTTTGGTTGGTAAGTTTTTGCGCTTCTTGAATCTCACTTTGAATTCCACCTCTGGCGGGTCTCTGTGATTCCAGTCGCTCGAGAGCATTTCTGCGAGCATCGCAGGGAACATTAGAAAGAAGATTTGTAACCTGGATCGTTGTCCTAATCATGCGACCAGCGTTCCATCCAACATTGTTACTACATGGAGTTCAGACAGTAACGTCTCGTGCTCTTGATTGTATTGTGGATCACTTCCTTCTAATTTGTACTGCTATCCACTGCTCCAACCTTTGACACAGGTAGAGATGCGAAACAAACTACGGGGCGACGTGATTTGTCCTCCTCCTATGGCATAGCCTCGACCCTTGTCATTAAGCACCGTCACTTCTTCGTATGATCACAAGCCTACATTCGGAAACGGGGCAACCATGTAAACATTCACCATCTGTTGTAGGGACATGAACAAAAGAAACATAGGATTCCAAGACTTGATTGAATAACTACCTACTCGTGTATGGACTTGAAACTACACGCTGAGGAGAACGCGGTACTCACTGTTGTTGCTGGTCAGAGTGTTTTTGAAATTTTGAGGCTTTTTACAATCGTGTTCCGTGCTTGTGGCGGTGACTAGGGTTTAGCGCAGGAGGAAACGTTGTTGTCGTTGTTGGTCACGTTTCTTTGTCATTTTTGGTGTTTTTCGGCATCGTTGAAAGCTCGTGATTGCGACTAGGGATTAGCGCAGAAGGAATTGTTGTTGTCGTTGTTGGTCACGTTTCTTTGTCATTTTGAGTGTTTTTCGGCCGTGTTGAAAGCTTGTGACTGTGACTAGGGTTAAGTGCAGGAAGAAACTGCTTCAATGGGTATAAGAGTTGGTGGACCAGATGAGAGAGACTTTGGAGTCCACCGATTATGACGAAATGGTAGCGTTATTGGCAAGGGTTGAAACTCCCCTGGCGACTTGTGAATATGCCCAGAACGTGGCAAGAGCTTTTATTGACTGTCTTAATGCAGGCTTCGGGCTTCAGTGACTTGTCAACATGCGTGATGATGTGATGTCTCATGATCGGTGCGAGGCTCGGTCCCTGTTATGATGCATGAACTTGCCACCTTGGACTAACATCCACGCACAACATTGCACTGCATTGCGGAGCGAAATGCGGAAGAAGACTTGGATTGAAGAGTACTCTGTGCTACCGTGAGCTCAACTAGATACTGTAGTACAACAAACGGTTATTGAATGCTTCAGGGATAAACGACGACATGCGCAACCAATACACTCCCTTCCACGACTGTTGGCAACAGCTAATGGCCAGAAGGGTGCCCAGAAGACATTGGTTGTTGCCATCATGCTCGGAAAGCAAGGAACTGGCTTTCCTGAAGTTTGTGCAATGCATGCACATGTTTCAGCTTCATGGACTGATTGTGTGCAATCTTAGTTTTCTTAAGAACAACTATGCATACAATCTAGTCGGGCTCAAAATTTGTACCTTGATCGATTTCATTTCCAGAACGTATGAGCGTGGATAGGTTCTCGTCTATCATCTTTCAAATTCTGTGCCGAAAACCTTTACTTTTGGCAAATGCATTGAGAATTTTTAGAGTTTAAAGTGTGAGATGTATTATTGAATGACTTTGTGTACTTAGGTATTCAGTCCCTTTATCTTAAGTCGAACAGCAAATCTGCTGATACTACGTGTCCAAAGTATCCGCAGTTTCCACCCGCCCTTCTACTTGCGCTTGATGTTGCCCTTCTTCCATGTAATAAATGTCCCCACTTTCAGAATGGATCCCAAACCAACGCATGGACAATGCTCTCTGAAGCATCAGAAGCATGCAGATGTCATTCTGACAGTCCAGTTCTTAGAGGGTCTCTTAGAGGGAATAGTCCCTGCTCTGCATTTATTATACTGGACAAATAGTCAATTAATGATGTGCAATCCATTAAAAATACTGTTGTATAATTGCGGTAGCACAAACATATTGATCCGAAAGAAAGAATCAAACCTTGACAAGTCCAATAACTCTAGCTGCCTCCTCTCTGAGCTTTGATCCGCTGAGGGGAAACCGACCGACTCACTTGACATCATAATTTCTTGTGCGTGCATTATAACCATAGAGTCAGAATTTTACGACATCTCAACTCATTGATCAAAGAGGTAGCAAAATGTCAGATGCTTCAACGTGGGTGCCAGATTCAGCCAGACAGAGCCTAATCTGAGGTAACATGCTAGCTCAAAGCGCATATCTTCATGGGTGAGACGAATTGTGCAGTACTGAAGATCTGATCAAGTTTGAGAACTAGTGAAGTTGAATGGCCGACATATCTTTCCGGAGCACCAAAATTTCGTTGATTGATTTTGGAAAAACTCCATGACTTCTTTTGTACGTAGGTTGATGGGCACCGTAGAGGGTCAATAAAGTAGACTGAGTGAAGACAATCAGGCCTTCCGTCAGAAGCATTCCTTAGTCATGAGAACCTCGTACACTGAGCGTGTCCTTAAACATGACCGCAAACCTGGCCAACGTGGGAGAATGGGGGCAAGGCGCAGCGTGCACCCTGTACCGCACCTGCTGCACAAATAATACTTGCAATTGCAAACTGGCTGTCATCTTTTCTGCCAAGTCGATGCGAATGATTGATACATTTGTTCTGTTTTGCAACTCTGAACTTTGAGCTTGGCTTCCGTTCTCTTCAAACAACTCGATCTCTATAATGGGAAAGTACGGAACCTGGCTGGTACACGTATATATGCTGCTCAGAAATCAGTTGAGCGGCAACGAAAGTAAACAACAATCTTCTCGCCTGAACATTTACTTACTGAATTCTCGATACGTGCTTACTGGCAAGATAGCTCTGGATGACAGAGTTGTGAGTTATATGCATGGTGATGATTTGATGTGAACTGCAGAAATTAGTAACAGCTGGAGTCAACTTACGGGAATGAGCTTCCTGAGTATATAATTCTTTTCATATACGTAGTGTAAGGCGAGATTAAAGCAAGACGTGATCATTCGATCGGAAGTGCAGACAATGCCGTCAGCATTATTCTCACTTGCAGTTACTCGTGCATATGGTAGATGCCTTGTATTGTTAAATATACCTGTATACCAAGCAGGTGAGACATGGAGAAGGTTCATAGATACATATAATTCGCACTAGGGAAAGGTACAGACTGACGCCCGTTCAAATGGTATATGGTCTACGTCAGATATTGAAGCTGAGATTTAAGGATTACACATGTGATCCTGCAGTCTACCTTGACATAATAAATGCCCGCAATGGCTCGAAATTTCTTAAGTATCCGCATAATTTAGGGAATAATGAGTTCCAGTTTGTTGAAGTACGGAAATCTGCACAGGGCTACTATATGTGGATGATTGTTTTAGAGGATCCGTTTTAGCTTAGTCCTGAAAATGTTATAATTTACAGTACGCAGTAGCATCGTTGTCTATTCTCCCCGTAAGAAGCAAATGATTCTCTTTCATAGAAGCCCTTTGACTTCAATGTTCCTGGTACAGCAGGAGGTCCGGCACACGCCAACTCTTCTCCATGCAGGTCGGGATCTGTGTCTCCATACACTCTCTTGCATACTTTCCAATGAAGAGCTTGGAATCCTGCAATTCAAGGAGCTTTGAAATTGTTATCGCTAATTGCTTACATCAGTCACCACATTCTACGCTTTTGTGCAATTTCTCCACGTTTGTAGTACACTGATTGTGATCGAAGCAAGCGCATAGTGTACCGCAAACATGAAAGAGGAGAAAATCCTTTATCATGGGCTAGAGGGAATCGTCTTTAGACATATGGCTCATGAGCCATATGTCTAACATTTGATTGCTTCAGGAGGCAGTATGAAGGAGAATGTTTGCATATACTCTGCGATCTTCTTATTCTGCAGCCCTTCAATCAGTTTTCTGATACTGTGTTTTCTACACACTCGAATCTTCAAGAGCTGTGCTTCAGAAAACATAGTACAGGGCGAGTATGTCAGAACGTGGCTGCGTGCATAATCTCATAATCTCGATAGTATTTTACTTCAAACCATCAATGTGGTTCCTCTTATCAACTTTCACGCATATCGTCATCATCAGGAGCAGCTGTGCTTGATGTGCAGATATTTAGTTCCAAGAGTTGGAACACATTCCAATCCATTAGCTATAATAAAAGGTTTTGGTCAATCAAATCTTTAATTGATTGCAAGCGTTGAGTTCTCCATTGATGATGTGAACACTACTGTCTAATTTAGGAGAAGAGAGTGTGAACATTTTAGTATTATGAGGATTTAGAGGTATCCTCGTGAATATATTATTAAAAAATATGAAGGCAAATTGTAGCAGTATATTCACGTTGCAGTCGCGATTGTGTTGAAATAAATTTGGTCTTATAAAATGCCCCGCGAAATCTCTACTGAAATTTTCATCGCTGTTCTTAGGACCGTGAAGCACCAATATGCTGAAACCTAATATTGCTCTGGTGAAGGTTCAAACAGTTGCAATGCAAGCTAGCATGCTTCAGTTTCAGTACTTCCTCAGGGGATATTCATCACCTCAGATCAGCAGAGATTAGAGCAGAATCGCAATTGACCAAATCCAGTCCAATTGGAATATCAGTTTTAATGCAGAAGGATTGTCAAGAAGCTACGACATTCCGTAAAATTAGTATTTCATGTACAGTCGATAAGTACGGTGTGACCTCTCTTTCTCTAAGTTTGACAAACTTCCTGGACATGGCTTACTCCAGCAAGCCATTCGAAACAACATGTATAGAACACTGGCTTCTAGCGAGTTAGGAATCAGCTTACAGAGCGGATCTCTCCTATTCAAGTCGTTGAAACCTGATGGATAATCCTCTTATTTCAGGCACTGGAAACGAGCAGCGCGAAGAATATCTGCAAATGGATAAATGGAAGTTGGAGGCACAGATTTCTCAAACCATGGGAGAGTTGAATACCCGCAGAGAGCTGTTTGCAGGAGTAATTGATGTCTCTTCACGCAGGAGCTTGAGACGGGACTCTGTAACAGAATAAAGAAGGAAGGCTTGGCAAGGCGCAAATGACTTTCGCCTAGAATTCTGATTTCCAAGTTGATGGTATTATCGAGCCACATTTCTACCCTCAGTCGTGCGGGGTAGTCTAACTCGGCGTTTGTATTTTTTCAAACCTTCTTTCAGAGATAAGGATCAAGACCTCTCGACATTTACCGGTCAAGGAACCGGTGTTAGATGTTTGTTTCCTGAGCAGTGACAACAATCGTGATCTTACGACGGGCCGACTTCACCCTCCCTGACTAACCACGTTGAACAGCTTGCTTGCGCACGGGCGGTTGATTTCAACAGGTATGATGCCATGACATCTCTGAGAAGAGTTCGTGAAACGGGTGTGCTGCAGATGCACCTCTACTGTACTGAGGTTGCATGTAATGTGTAGCAAGGTCAACTCCAAGTATCAGGTAGGTGAGACCTCCTTCGTGTGAGTGACCTCGTCCACCGACTGAAAGTCGGACTACTGGAATGTACAGTACAGTACTGTATCTCGTTTTGCCGTCTAATTTTCTATCCAGCAATCATTTATTTTCACCGTCTGACATGCACTAGTCCTTCTTAAGATTATGCCATTGAAATCCACGTCAGTCGGCAAGCCTCACAATCGAACAATCATTCTTCTCTGTAGTTGTCAGTCATCAGAATTCATCGGAGGAAACAAAACGCTAGGAACGCGATACAGAGAAAACTTTTGGGCATTTAAGAAACTCTTATTGAAAACTGACATTTGGATAGTATGTTGTTGCTTCAGTAGGCGTCTTCTTGCTGACATCGGTACAAGAGGACGAAAGTAGAGGGAAATCTCTCGAGCTTGAGCTTCTCTCGACGCTCTTCCGATCTGTCACTACGATCCCCTTGACATGGATACTCACACTCGCCTCTATAATCCAGATATTCTAGAAATGAAACCAATAACTTTCTCAACACCTTGGGAATCATGTCAACAATCAGCATCCCAAAATCAGTAATTCATGAACAGATACATCCTCGGGAACTCCTCTCTACCTGAAAGATATGGCTTCATACCATGTCTTTAGACACGAATCTGGCCCACAGGGTGACAACTACCCCTCCTCTCTTGGGACGGAAAGAAGAGGAGACGAGAGGAATCAGGCTCTAAACTGTACTCAGCTAACGTGCATCCATTAGCAGAAGAGATATACCTGACAATTGAAGGGTGATATGCATGCAGTGCACAGAATCCAGGGTTTGATGATCCATGGGACACATTCACAGGGTATTGGTTACTTTGCCGAGCGATAGGCGATTCTCTAAGCTGTCCATCCACATCACCTGTCCAGACTTACTCTCTTGCACGGGAGGCGGGATGAGATAACATTCTGGAGGCAGGGCGGGACACGAGACGGCGATCTACCCTGCAATTGGAGCGATTTCCACAAGATCCCATGGATCCTTTGAAAGATCGAAATACAACTTAACAGTCTTGTCATCCTGGTCCGCATCCATTATTTGCAGGCTACAACCGCACCGCCCAGATGTTGGAATTGTTGCAGCTGCAGACTGTAGGCAGAAAAATACAGTTTTGCTCCACTTTTCGTCTCATGATGACAGCAGACACGAATGGCAAGATGATAACACTATTTGTTGATGCAGAGAATAACTCAATTAGCTCTAAAGCGATTCCGGGAAATCCATACTGCAGAATTCTGATCCTGCAACTATCTTGCATCCAGCGTTGCGTTCGGAACTCATCTGAAGCTGTGACTGAACGCATCAGGGGAACTTCAGAAATGTCTGCTGACAAGGATGGTCAAGCAGAATGGTGCAGGATCTGGACCAGTGCTGCGAACCATCTTCTTCATCTTGCGAATACGGAGAGCTGCAAAGCAGAGTCAGTTATTTCCTCGGGCCTCTCTCTCTACTCTGTCCCATAGGCACTAAAATCGGTTTGAAAACACTGCCTCCCAACACTATTTCTTGGCTTCCAAGTAATTTAGTTACCGGAGGGTATTACTGTGGCACTTTACAGTGTGTGTTCGTCCATAGCATTGAGCCGAAGTCACTGCTTTGAATATACATTCACTGGTTCAAAAATTCAACCATTGAACATCAAATCTGGAGCTGGCATGCATAACTTCATGCAAAACGAAGGAGTTCATGTTTGCAATTCGATACAGGATTTGAATCATAGCTCGAGCAAGAACTGTAAAAGAATTGCGTGGTCCTTCATTGATGATACAAGCAGGTCTAGAAACACTCATATCTACTTCGATCCCAATCTTTCTTAAAGGCCATGGATAGAATGGGATCTCAGTCACAAGGCTTAATCTTGTCTAAATGTCTGTTCATCACAGTCCTCTGGCTTCGCCCGTTGTCTCGTATACTGAGCTCAGAATCTTCACTCCTGCATCATGTCGAAGTTTTTCTTCCGTACCTTTCTGTCATCATTTTTTGGTATGAAGGTGGAGCTCTGAAGTCATGCTTGGACTTTGACCTTGGATTCGAGATGTGTATTCTACATCTCAATGTTCTGAAGAACTCAAACTGTTCAGTTGAACAAACCCTGCACGGTGTCACGACATCTGTCCGGGCAGCATACACCCACAGTCATAAATCTCTTGAGGCTATTTCCTTCATCGAAACGCCAGGTATCAAAACCAGATGCAGTTGCCATGCTTGTTCACATCACAATTATAATGAGGACTTGAGACTATATGCGAAGTTTATCGTCCAGAGAGCCGAGTGTGTGAAACCGTGATTTAACCAACAGCAAGATCGTTCACTCTCCAATAGAACGAACTGTTCTGTGACCTGGCATCTTCCTACACTGCGTTACTTCACCACAGTCTCTCCCATTAGGTCTTGTGCGTGATACCGAGGCGCGAGTAAACTTACTCGCGCTGACGCTTTGGTGCCATGTGAGGCATTTGGAAGCAACGTCGGCCACACTGACACTGGTTTCAGTGTCTACCTGGCACATTGTCCATGATCCTCAGCAGCCAGTCAATCCTGTATGTGCGACATAATATTCGAGTCACTTTTTAATGAGAGCAAGTCGAGTGTAGATCGCTCGCTAGCACTTGTCGAGATTTCACATACTTGAGTAACTGCAAGTGTTTAGTAATCAACAACTGGAAACTGCGCACGCGTGCCTGCTTGTGGGCGGAATAGTAGAGCCGATTATGTGAGGTCACGACATTTGGCACCGAGTTAGAGTTACAAGTGTTTCAATTCTTTAGCAGTCGGGCTGTATGCACAATTCACTGGGACTTCGGACTAATTTCGTCCTTGCACTAGACCGTAGTCTTTCTTTGCCGGTAGGATGCATCGGCACCGGCGCCTTCTAATCTTGATGTTCTCGGACTATTGACTTGAACAGAGCTCCATCGCATTTGGAATTTGTGCTACATATACGAGCGGAGACTAGGTCATGCGGCCCAGCGCTTGGCTCCGTTCGCAATATACAACTTGACATCACGCTCTGCTCTGCTTTCGGCTGGCTTACCCCACCTATTGCGACTTCGTGCGCCGTGGACTGTGGATGAACCGCAAATCGGTCGACGACACAGCAAGCAAGCGACCATCGGACCCACGTTACGATAAGACCCGGTGGCTGCAGCCGACCAGCCGTCACAGTACTCTGCCGCTCTAGAGAGACGAGCAGAGAAACGATTCTACAATGATCTCTTCGGGGTCCACGATGAGGACTGTCGTCATTTTTGTGAGTCATCTGCACCCATGAGTCTGTCCGGGCTCGTCTGGACACAGTCATCGGCCTTGCGCTGAGTAAATCTTTTCGGGGAAGGGGAAGTTCACAGAGACATCTCTCAGAGTTCCATGCAGACACGACACAGAGGGTCGACAGGAAAGTCGTTTCGATTCGATGAATTAGTATAAGAATCAGGAGTCCACGAGAGACACAGGAATGAATACTTTCCTTCGAACCAGCTTTTGGTAGACTTTACGCGCTCCGTTTGTAGCTTAGCACCAAGGCTGGTAATAAACAATCCTGGCTGGCATATCCTTCATTTTTTAAGTAGAGCAGCGCTACCGGCTTTTTCGCAGCATATATATGATTTTCGCTTTGCCTATTCCAATCGAAGTCAGCTCTTTCGCCCGCCGTAGGTTTGGTGCTTCAAAGATTTATTCGGATATTTACGAGCTTCTCTTTAGAAATATCCACCGGGACAGGTCTTACTTGGGCAAGCCCCTTCGATCCGCAACTCGAAGGAGGCCACTTGTTCGTTCGGATTAGTAGGGCTCAGCTCGACCTTACCTTCCGTCTCTTTGGTCCCTCTTGCACATCATGAGTCATGATTCATGACTCTTCCCCTTCTTTTCGATTCCGGCATCTTCCAATCTGTCCAAGACATTCGCGGACAGTTTTGAAGATATCTTTTCCTCTTGGAGTGGTTGGGCAAAGAAAAACTTTGAGGCTTCACCTTTGAGTTTTGATGATAAATACTCCGACAATGATCGTGAATATTCTTATTAACTTAAACATTGCAAGAAAAGACTGCTGAAAGTGAAATAACAACATGGCAAAACAACAATTTGATGCATAGTATTCAAACATTAATTTTTCAGATAAATATCCCCAACCATCATATATAAATCAATTATATTCACCAACCAAACAATCTGCACCTATTGTAAACTTTACACTCTTACCACATAAACCATTCCATTTTTTTTATAACTTCTTTTCATACAGTTTCATCTTTCTCCGATTAATTTACAAATTCCATAACTAAAGATGATGCACTAAAGACAAAAATTTACATTCATTTATTAAGTCTTGTTTATGAATTTATGAATTGAACCAATTATCTCAATTTGAACATGCTAGATAATTCATATATACTCTAAATTTTGATAATTAGATTTAGAAATTTAATGTAAATTTTAAAATTTTGATTTGTACATAGTTAAACCTTCCAATAGTGTCAACTCTTATGAGTGACATATTCTCATTAGTGAAATAAAATTCTAAAACCATTAGTGCAACATTTAAACTTGAGATTACACTCAGCAAGCAAACATCACAAGAGACACACGTATAACGTGGTTCATGCTTAAGGGTTACATCCACAGAGTAATAGACTCGGGAGAGTATATTGCTTCAGGTGAAAACATAGCAATACTTGCAGAAGCATCAAGGTATATATATACCCAACGTAGGTAACCAAACTCCGCTATAAATAGCTACACATGATGTTACTCCTTAACCGGAGTTAATCTCAACAATATCACTTTTAACTCGCTTTAAGTAGTTTCAGTAATCTCTTTAAACTATATTATTACTCAACGGAAAAATCTAGAAAGAAAAACATAACGCAAGGTACCTCTTTTAACAAGAGTTAACAAGAACTAAATTGTAACCATAACAAAATAGAGTAATAATATACAAAGGTAACTCAATAATTTCACTTAAACTCGTATTAGAAAATCTCAGTAACCTCTATTACCCATAGAGTAATAACATTCAAAGTTAATTCAACAATCTTCTTCTTAACTCATGTTAAGGAATCTCAGTAACCTCTCTAATCTATAACATTATTCCCATAACAATATAGAGTAATTATATACAAAGGTAATTCAACAATCTCACTTTTAATTCATGTCAAGTAATTTTAGTAATTTTTCTAATGTATATCATTATTCCAATAATAGTATAGAGTAATTACATATAGAGGTAATTCAACAATTTCACCCTTAACTCATGTTAATGAATCTCAGTATACTCTATAACTTATATTATTCTTGCCATAACATTATAGTGTAATTACATACAGAGGTAATTCAACAATCTCACCCTTAACTCATGTTAAATAATCTCACTGACATCCATAATTTATATTATTATTTCTATAACAGTATAGAGTAATTACATACAGATGTAATTCAACATACTTATTCAACATACATGTGATCTCATACTTGATCCATGTTAAGTAATTTCACCATCCTCTCTAACCTATATTATTGATGCACAAAAAGTTCTAGACGGAAAGCTAATACAAGGTAACTCTTTAAACAAAAGTTAATTAGAACTAAGCCGTAGTCATAACAAGATAGAGTAATAACATACAGAGTTAATTTAACAATCTACTCCTTAACTCGGGTTAAGAAATCTCAATCAACTCTCTAACCTATATTATTACTTCCATAACATGATAGAGTAATGACATATAGAGGTAATTCAACAATCTACCTATGCTCTCCATGCAAAACCTGCATAGTAGCAAAGTGTCATCTGAATCTCTCAAAAGTATCAACTTTGGTCAACGCATGAGTTGGATTGAATTTATTCTCAATCTTAACTAGCTTAATCATGTGCTCAGAATCTTCACCACTACTAGTGCTCTACCTTCTTGATCATTAATCGGATTACAATCAAACTCATCCACAATCATATTCGTGAGCCGAGATTTTCTCTTGTGATGACGAAGAGCATGAGAACTTTCCCCTCACTTTGACCTAGGCCTCATTGAAAGAAACATCTCAAACAAAGATTGTTACAGCTTTTCAAAGTACATAGGTTACTTTTGTCAAAACACAAAATCTAGTACTCATAGATTTAGATTCTCCAAAATGTGAATCTCGAGCACTATTTGTTGGCATCAAACCAATGCCCCTTATCTACATGCTGACAATTGGTACACTGCATTGTCTCCTTGGCCATAAAAGCTAAAGCAATACAATCAACATGAAATCAATGTTTGCATACGAGTTTCATAATTGATCTATCTTTGCTTTGGACGAGAACAACATCCATTGAATACTACAAGTAAATGTTTCAGCTTTCTGTGATGTTTCCGCATCTTCCTGCTTCAGCGCTGTGGGCATATCTTACCAATGTGATACTTTTGCATTCTTGCAAAAAAAGTCATGAATAAATTTTTTCACCACATTTTCATACCCAAGTTAATTTGAATCTAGACCGCTATACTCCGCGGCCAACAACAAACTTTTTGTCTGTTCATGATATTCAAATCCACATATTCCAATATTCACCAAACGGAATTTGTTAGTAGCTTCTCACTTTGACTATCAAAATGACAGTGCTGAATATGGATGAGATTCAACAGGAGGTACTACCATATCAGATCACCACGTGTCGTCCGTGACTATCGTCGGCAACTGATCGTCACCGTTACCGCAACTGTCGCCTGCGATTGGTCATCATCTTTGCTCGCAATTAATTGTCATTGTCGCCTGTGACTCACCGTTTGTCATCCGCAACTACGTTATTGACAACTGACTTCCAAGGCAATTTACTCCTTTCGACTCATTGTTCAACTTCTAAAAAAATGTCAAGATGCACTATTCGCGTCGATAGCTTTCCAACAATACTCAATTTTCCTATACTACTATGACCAAATATTTCTAAGAAATATTCATGGCGGAATATTCCTTCACCATTGGTTTTTTCCGTCACCATCACAATCGGTCGGCCGTTGACTACGTTAGATCGCCGGCCACGACTGCTACCCCGTTCAGCCCGATCACGACCTCGATCGTTACCACGTTCGGCTTGACTACGACTGCGACCAAGTTCAACCCAATCATGTTTGCTCCTACCGACTGTATGTGTGTCAACCACGCACGTCCTCCATCATGTTCGGACTCAACCACGTTCGTAGCAATCACAACTACGATCACCTTGACCACATCCGCCGCAATTGCTATCACGTCGACGACGACTACTGTCTGGAAGGAGTGTCTGTTAGGGTTTATGGATTCTACGTGACAGTTGCACAATCTCCTCGCCGCTCGACCCTGAGTTGCCCAAAATGCGATGTGACCTAAACCGCGGCTACCTTAACCGCCCAGTGATCTAATTCGAGGCTACTCAAATCGCGCGGGGACCAGCGACTGATATATCTGCGCAAGGGAGTACCTAAGTTTGGAAGGGTTACATAAATCTAAACTCTAAATTTGACTCTGTCTTGTCAACGGCGACCTGCCGTTTGAGTGGACGCCACTGCGGCCTCTGAATTGCAGCTCGCCGCTCGGGGGCGGTAGGAGTATCCAGCGGCTTGGATTGCGACCTGCAGCCCGTCGCTCCTGCGTTGTGCGATCTTTCTTTCTTCTCGCTTTTCTCAAACTTTCTTCTCGCGAACGGGATCTGATAAGAAAAAACTATGATACTTGAATTTTCACTTTGTTTCCGTCACATCGACGTTATCTTTATCGGCTAGATTTGATAGTATTCTGAAAGCTTCTGATACTCTCACGCCTTCTTTCTATCTCGCTCTGAACTGCAAAACTAGAGGTCACAAAACATGACTCAAACCTCAAACCATGGTCAGATTGTCAAAATAACAATCTCTCAACTTCAAAAAAACCGTCACAAAAACTATCGACAAGGTTTAAAAAACTAAAGACTTTTTTGAACCAAATAACTTTTGAATTATAAAACTACTGACACAATCTCATGTAAAACCTGTTAGCCATTGAGAAAAAAAATTCTTTCATTATCAAATTTCTGCAAGTTAAAAAAAAACGTCAGCGTCATAATTTTTGTCATCTTAGAAAAGCTTATGTAAATTTCATCTTCCACTCAAACGAGACTTCTCACAAACTCCGAAATTAAAAACTAGCTCTAATACGAATTGCAAGGGTAAAACTCGAGATCACACTAAGCAAGCCAACACCACAAGAGATACAAGTATAACGTGATTCACCTTCAAGAGCTACATCCACGGAGGAATACATCGAGAGAGTTTACTGCTTCAGGTGAAAACATAACACTACTCGCAGAAGTATCAGGGTATATATACCCAATGTAGGCGATCAAATTCAGCTATAAATAGCTAAACATGAGGTTTCTCCTTAACCGAAGTTAACCTCACCAATTAGTTTATAACTTGTAAATATGTTCAATAAGAAATAAATGTGAGTATTGCCAATAGTGACATGATACGATCCAATAGTGACTATTTCAATTTCAAGTGTAATTTCAGAGTTGATATTTCTATCATGATCACAATACATAGTTATGAGAAAAAAGAATGTTGCATATGTTTATTTAAAGTTCTATCTCAAGAATTCACTCTATCTGGACTTTGATAAAATACTTTGTTACATCTATAATTATCAATTGTTTCACTCAGATTTTTGTGTATTAGTCTAAATTCAAATGCAATTATAACGCCTATATTAATCGTTGTGATCATTACAAATGTGCCAATGAAGGCAAATTTTCAACGATCCAACACATTTATAGAATGTACTGGGACTGATGTAATGTATGATAAGAAGTCTATGCACATTTTTTTGTAAGTGACATCTCCCAATAGTGACATATAATACTAACATCAATGTATGTTACTATTAGAAGCTTATATTCAAGATTACGCATCTTTCAAGATTGACATTCAACTCTGACACCAAAGTATGTTACTATTATGAGCTTATATCCAAGTTTACGCACTTTACTCTTATGAGTGATACACCCCACAGTGACTTAAAACCCTAGCATCAATGTATGTCATTATTGGGGAGGGCAACTAGTTATCCCTCAGGGCTAATTAGCCCTCACTCTACTGCAGACTCTTCTCTGATTGATGGAAGGAGGGTTATAGGTTCCTCGAATGAGTAGCAATCAGGGTAGGGTGTCAGATGGTCGACAAATCGGAGAATTGCGTATACTATAGTGAGGGCTAATTAGCCCTAAGTGAGGGATAACTAGCCATCCCTTTATTGGAAGGTTTAACTCTGTAGTATTTTTTTCATATAAAAAAATAAAAAATAAATGAATTCCAGTATATATAAATTATTTTTTGAATAAAAATATTTATTTAAAAAATTAATAAAAAATTTTATTAAAAGTTAAAATATCTACAAATATTAAATTTTAGGGTATATTATATGTATATTTTGGTCAAACAAAATTTGACATAATTTACTATGAAAAAAATATTAATATTGATATTAATAACATCAATATATTTTTCAAATGTACATAGTTATTGCAGTAGAAGCATCATTGGTCTTATTATTTTCACGTCAATAAGATCTTATAAAATTTTTATGTTTGAAAATGCATATACATGTTATTTTTATTTCATAAAATCTTTATCTCAAATATCACAAAGTCCACAAATGTACAAAATCTAGAGAGAATCACAAAAAAATTTGTAACTTATTTCAATGAATTTTTGTCCATTGGAACATTTTATCTTATTGAAAACTTTGGTGAGTTCTTTGATATAGTGTCAAAACGCCCAAATCGGGATTAATCGAACAAGTGTGGTACGAATATATAAATTGATACCTTTACTTTAAATTGAATATTTTAAAATTTACAACAATTCAAGTAGATTGAATTTGAAACAATCATACATTCATTTTTAATTGCATGATCATCTTGACTAAGTTAAATTTATATTTTTTTCAATATAAATATTTTTCAAATTAATTTATTGTGAAATATATTTATTTATAACGTGAAAATTAATAAAGATTGAATGTGTTAGTTGAAAGAGAGACGTCAACAATCCACGTGCTTGTTAGTTATACTACTATACAGGGCTTTACGAACTTGTTGTATGAATTCGCACGAGGGACGCAGTGATGAACAATCCCGGGGACCAAGCCCTAAAGTATTGCCGGATATAGATTAAAGGTAAATTATCTGCCTTCCAAGCAGAGGATATGGGTTCGATTCCCGTTATCCGCAATGGCTAAAAAAAAGGGCCTACCTATCCAAACTAATTGACTTACATAATGATATTTTTTTCTTTTTAATCGTTATTTTGATCTTTGTATTATGGATGTTGGTTCGCGCTTTATGGCATTTTCACTATAAAAGAAATCCAATTCCAGAAAGGATTGTTCATGGAACTACTATAGAAATTATTTGGAGGGCGACCGTTAGGTCACCCATAGTTATGTCAATGGGGCTCAACACATGGGCTCTAAACCGCGCGAGCCTATCTTCCGCGCGCCAGGTATACGACTCATCCTTGCCACGTAAGTGGTGGGAGACCAAAGCATGTCGTAAAAGCGAGATTGAGGGGTCCTTGTCGTTCGCAGCTGGACTGTGGAAAGCCCAAGATCATCTTGCTAACCTGCCATCGCTATTCGAGATGAGGAGCTGTTCTGGCGAATAACTCGATTAACAATGAATGATTTGGATTATAAGATCAATTCTTATCTCCTTTAACCTATTGAAAATATTGATGTAATGAAAAAAAAATATTTAACTGTCTCTTAGCATAAAAATTTAAGTTTTACTTTCAAGTGAGTTACTCTATTATTTCTCTAAAATTATAATAATATTAAATTTATCTTGCTAGTTTTTTTGAATATGAATAATTCTCATGAAATAGCAATAAAAAAAGTGAACAGCTACTTATTCTTCAGGTACACTAATTATCGCTCACCCTACTATACTAGGGTGAAAAAAAATTGGCCAAATCAACCAAGTACGTAGTTAGTAGATTGAACCTTCGCCAAGAATTTGGAGCTAAAGGTGATACACGCTCGATGGTCTGTTGTTGCTGCTAATCCCTCTCCTAGTCGTCTCGGTCTTTTCTTCCATGCAGCAGCAAAGTGTCTTGGAGGCTGATTGATTGGCTCACGTGTTACTCCTCTCCTCATGCAAGTACTCATTCTGCCTCTACTATCACGAGGAGGAGGAGAAATAGCAGTAGCGATTGTTCTCAATTTGCCCAAAATCAATCTGCAGGAGACCAACTCAAAGTCTACAGTGATTGTGTCCACTATTTGTGTGAACCACCACCCTTGCGCTGAGTCCAATCTAATCTTAACACAAAAATTCCTTCCTTTCACTAATCGGCGCTGAGCGAGCAAAGCTCGATCCAAGTCACATGCACATCATCATTCAACTTCAAACTTACGGATGTTTTACTCGATTTCATCATTTCAAGCTATTGTCAACGGCAAGGATTTGATTGACAGACTATCGAGTCTTGCCTTGTCACAGTTAAGAACTATGCTTGAGCATGATGAATAAACCTCAATTCACGCTATTGTCACCAGCAAGGGCCGATCGAAAACTTGTCCAACCACTTGATCAATTATCCCTCACCTTACTATAGTAGGGTGAGAGATAATTAACCTAAATTGAGGTATAACTAGCCGCTTTCTAAATAAATGATGTTTCTCAATTTTTGACTGTGAGTAGAATTTGACATATAGCATTTATGTATATGTACTATAGTACATATAATAATAACTTGAAAAAATAAAAACTTGTGGTCTGCAAATATGAAAAAACTAGATAAAAATTCAATACAAAAATAACATATTCTTGATTTTTTAGATATTTTGTTTTATTTCATTAAAACAAATTACATCATAATGTATTAAGATACATAATTTTAACTCAAGTAATGAAGTTGAAGATAACATCAATATCTCATATTATTAGTTACACATGAACATAGATTGCATCACATTAAATGTTAGATTGATATGAATAAATAATTTTTTAATTCAACACTCATTAAAAATTTAGAATATCTAACAACATAAAAGATTGTGGGATGATTTTTTGAAAATAAATATGATGAATTTTTTAAAAATATGATAGTATCATATTTATCAAAGTTGAAATATGGAGTAATTTTCATACTTATTTTGTATAATAAAAAGTATGGAAAAGTATAAAGACAATACTAAAAATGGGTTTAATTTTAAATGCAATAAAAATTTAGATTAAAGAATTAAAAATTAATAAAACGAAATAACTAATTGCACAAATCAAAAAAGTCATGAAAAATAATAGTTTTTCATCAAAAAATGAAAAAATAAATAAAAAACACGATGAAAAGTTGGAGGTTTAAGATTTCAATTTGGGTACTTTACTTCAATCAAATACAATTGTCATCAATGCTACAATGTCAATATTTACTTCAAAGTACAAAAAATAATTAAACTTTTGACTTTGAATAAAAAATCATGTAAAGTGAAAGATCACAAGTAAATAGACTCATGAATCAATAAAGAATCAATGAAGAATAAAGATTCATTATCTTGCATAAATTACTTGTTTGATTAAATTCAATGAGCAATTATTTTCATCAAATTAAATCTTCTCATAAATTCAATCTCATTATTGCACATATAATATTAGTGGCAAGATGTTGCAAATTTTCATGCAAAAATAAACACATTAAAATGACAACACAAGCATACACAAGAACACTGATACAAAACACATGATACATGACTGCGGACTTTGTGCACAAAAACTCAAAATATTTTTTATTAATAATGTCTAGAGTATTTAGTAACTAGCTCTTTTTCATAATCATCGCAAATTCAGACCTTACATAGTATTAAGCTACTTGTATAAAAAAAACATGAATTGATACTAACAATATCTCCCTTAACTCATATTGTGGAGACAATAACCTTATAATCCATATAATAACCATAGAAAAAGTTTTTTAAAACACCTAATCCATATATTTTTAAATTTGGTGCTAATTAGATTTTCATCAGAGCCAAGTAAAATTAAAAATTTTATATAGAAAGGTAAAAAAATAGCTCATAAACTTTACAAATTCTTTTTATGCAATTCTACAAAGTAACATAATGTGATAAAAAAATTCCCAAAAAAGGTCTTTGATTAATGCATTAGTTCAATTCAATTGAACTTACTTTCAATCTTGACTAACTCTATATTTTTATCAAAAGTTGCATCTATGATGTGTTTATCTAACTATTTATCATTTGATTTGCAACAAAATATAACACATTTAAACTATAAAAATTAAGATTCACAACCTACTATTTTGATTCCATCTAAATGATAAGCAAATTCAACAAAATTTTATTTTTTTTTGCTTTTTCTACTACTACTATATATTTAGAAAATTGATAGGTACACACCCCCCTTACTGCGTACACATTTCCTTGATCACAGTCTCTTGTTGCGAGATCGACAGCATGTTACTCTGATAAGTATCGGTAAGGTTGCCAGATGAAACAGTGATCCAAGTTTTCAAGGCACCGTACTTGCCTTCTGCGTGAGAAGTGACAAGGTTCCCCAGATGACAATGAACTTTTGTCCAAGCAAGAATAAAGCGCTCCTTGTGAGTAAACCAGGTTGGGTAAGTGTAGTTACATGCTTGTTGTGTATGCTTAGCGAGCATATCTGTCCAATTGGCGTTGAATGACTTGGTATCTAAGATAGCTGAAAAAATTGGCGAAACTCGAACTCAAATTTCTTCATTACTCCAACCCAAAATACTTTCGGCATCTAGAAAGCACATTCTTCTGGATGTGCTAGACACAAAGAAGATTGTGGACAGAGAAAAATGTTACGCAAATGATTGACATTAATGCCAATTCGCGATTCGTCACAATGATTCGTCACAATGACCTCAGGAAGTCGTCCCATTGCAAAAATGCTGGCAAATTGCTCTAGCTCCCAAATGTAATCGGCTTCAACCTCGAATGAGAGAAAGCATAAGACAACAGAGTACGATTCGTTGGTAGACGACATGCCGACAATGTGACGGAGTGGCATTTTGAACTTATTTGACTTGTATGTGCAATCCATCTGAATCATATGCAGAAACTCATTGGCAAACTTGACAAATTGATCCCGAGCTAGATAAAGGTGCGTTGCGTAGCCTCCGTTGTTCATATCATGGGCATGACAAATATTCTTTGTGTGGAGCTCATTACGGAGCATTTTGATGGAAGTTCTCCCGGCGAGGATTTTGTTTTGAATTGTTGCTTTGGCGTTGTAGATGTCTTGTGGAATGAGAACGCAGGACGGATTGCTTTGGCGGATGGAGATCAAAATCAATTTTGATGCTATCCCAGCTTTTGACAATGTGTGGATGCTTGACTTTTGAATGGCCTTCAGCTTTCTAGCAGTTGGATAGGCATAAAGGTTGCCAGCACCGTCGTGATTCTTGTGCTCCCCTTGCACAACAAAAACACGTAATTCGTAGGTCACACTGGCGGCTGGCGCTATTACTTCACAGCGTTGTAGTGTCATTGAGAATGAACATCGAGAGATTCTAGAAGAGCACTTGCGCTTGCGATTGTCATTTGTGAGGTCCTTGCGCTTGTTTTTGTACTCGCCTCCGTGTGCACATGCTAGCCAGACTTTGCTTGTATCGTCGGTCTTTCTCTTCTTAGAGCGAGCGCGGAACAAAATATATCCCTTTGTGTTGGCATATGCCATAATTGTAGCTTCTGCTATCTCAAGCGAAGCAAACACAACTTACCTAAGGTGGTGGTCTCAGCATTGCGTTGTGCAACTGTGCGGTGGCGTGGGGCGATGCAGTGGCGTGCGCGTGTAGCAGGGTGCGGCAATGTGTGGCAGCTTTTTATTATACAGAAGCTTGTAGCTTGAGTAGGAAAAGTCGTTCGTTTGTCTCGTTGTTTGTTCGTAGCGCGCGTGGGGTGTGTACTTATCAATTCCCTATATTTAGCTTCCATTGAAAATTAATCTACGCACTCTTGCAAAATAGATATCCAACTAATGTATTCATCACCATCAACACCAAAATACATATCCAATTGTAGATTTTTTCTTGTATAAATTTGTGCATAATTTTCATCAATATTACTTAGCAAGATTTTGATTTTGTTTAATAGATTATCAAAAAATATCATATTTTTTAATACTCTTTATGTACCTTAGTATTTATTTCACTATTTTTTATACTTTTTTTTAGTTTTGACGTGTATCTGCTCACCTTGCCCATAGCTGAAATAATATCAATTTTTGTGCATACCATCACATACGCAAGGCTGTACAAAGCTTTGTCGTAGAAATTTAATGACATTTTTTTCTTCTCAATTACATCAATTGGACATTTATTTTTAAAAAAATTAAAGCAAAATGTCAAAAAAGTCCATACTTCTTTGAATACTCGTTATTATTGAAATCCATAAGTATGTAATTATTTATTTGTTGTAACATTTTAACTTGTTAAATCAACATCCTTTAATCCATAATTAAACTAAATATTGGAACAAATGCACATATAAGTCAAACTTGTAGCATATTATGCTTGATGTGAGATTTTTTTGTTGTAATTAATACTTTTCACTTGTGTGAATTCTCTAATCATCAAACATAATTTTGAAGATTTTCTTCTCACCTTTTTTTTTGAATTGT